AGGTTGTATGAGGTGAGGATTCTTTTACTCATCGTTCGGGGACCTCTTTGTTCTTTATTTGTAAAAAATATCCTGGCTCAGTCATAGCGAGATACTTGATAGTCGGTGTCTCCTGTGTGGCGCTGTTACTTATTAGGTCGGTTTTAGTAGCATCCATTAGCACAGTCAGATGCAGAATGATATGAGAAAGTGGCTGGCTAAAGCTGGCATTGGACAAACGGGATGGAGGGCCTGGGGATCATGAAAGCACCTCACCTGCGGTTGTGTCACCTTGGGCGGGACGGCGGGCAGACTAGCTCGTAGGTACCTCAGATCTGTCTTTGCTGGCAGCAACTTATCACCCTGCATCTGATCTTGGCTGTGGATATGTGCCGGGCCCTTTTCCCTTCTCGAAGAATGTAACGATGCTTTAACCGTACGACTTCTTATTAGGCATATCAACTTACGGCTGCGGTTGAAATATCGGTCAGCACGGCATGAAGTGATAAGCAGGCCCGAAATGCCATGAAGTTTGTTCGGGCTTCGTTGCAAGATTGTTACGCCTGTCCACGTCAGAAGAGAGCTAGAATCAGGGTTGTACGTCTTAATGCGGTCTTGGGTTTGTCTTATCCATCCGCGTCTCGCGACTCATGCGGGTGGACTCTGTTGGGTGGAACGCATAGTTTTAAGACGTCTTAATTCTTAACATATCGATACCCAGCATTATGCAGTGGTACTTTCTAACCGTCTTTCCGGGTACTGTACATGTTTGTTTCTCTCTGTCTTGTTGAGCTAAAAGGCAGCTGAGCTTCACTGGCTAGGCGGATGGATGGATAACTGAACACGCGAGCGTCCCCCCCTCCACCCGCCGATCAACCCCCGACTACAGCGTCTAGATGACGCCTATGAGCGTAGCATCCCTCTAAGGTACGGATACTGGCCTAGCTTCCTTTAGTGCAGTTCGCTTTGCTCTGAGGTGCTTGACTGGCCCCTCCAAAGGTTCCATCTGTAATCCTCCCGCCTCTCTTCTCCCTATCTCTTAGTGATACTACATAGTACAAACCCTTTCTTCCCCCAACATCCTTGTTTTCGACTCGTCTTTTCTTTTACTTCATATCTTCGCTTTTTCTCTCCTTGGTCTGCTCGAGGTCGTCAACCGCGAGCGTCCAAGTTATCTATTACTTGCTTTGTTCCACTTTGCCGCATATCGCCTCCTCCAGCCCCGACATAGGCGGATACAGTTATCTAGGGGGTCCACTTCCATCATCAACGCATCTTATCTTGTCCGCCATTTCCTTATCGGAGCCAACCTCGCGACTTCACGACAATTGCAACGAGCGCAACAATCATGGCTTTTCATCAGCCGACTCGACAGTCGGTTCAGCGCGTCGTGCGGGCTCCTGTTGATGAGCAAGAGATCTCCCGAAGAGAGGTGCCCATTACCCAAGAACTTGAACCAGAACGGTCGCAGACATGGGTGCTCTTCGCGCCCACTGATGTGACAACAACATCATATCTCACCGAGACGGAGCACTCATTGAAGACTCCTGGAAGGTCACGAGTGGGCGATTTGGGCAGCTTGAACTCGGCAGCGAAATCGGAGGCCGAGTCACGCCAATCTGTATCAGCATCTGGCCTTGATGAAGAGGATGACGCTGAGCTGGATAGTCTAGATGGCCACTTACCTGGCTTTCGCTCAATACCTGGAGTGCAGTATCAGCCCCAGGACGAACAGCACGGCTCGGGACCTGTATTTCCCGGTCATGATGGTCTGGGCTCCTTCCACCTTGACCAGCCCACCTTGGGGGCCGAAGCCCAAGATCACATCTATCAATTCGAACGTTTCAATCCCAGACGGCAGTATCAACGAAGAGAGAGTTTTGATTTGCGGCAACTCGATGTGGAGCATGATCAGGTCCATGAGGCAGAGAAGCGCCAAAGGATCGAAGCTTGGCGACTAGAACACAGTCGAGTACTGCTGGGTGAGATTCAGCGCGAGACAAGGAGGAGGCGATTTTCGCAAGCATCTATTCCGAAACGCCCGTCCTCCAATGTGCCTTCTGTACCATCGGCCCTTGCTTATGATGGAGAATCAGACAACATGACATGGCACGACGAGGATGCCATTGGAACACCATCAGATTCAGAAGGGTTCTTTTCTAAAGTTACCAGAAGATTCTTGCGAGACGTCGTTGGAATGGACGAACGATCGATTTCGGTATTCCTGGGAGAGACGGTACCTGAGGATAATGAAGACTTATCTTCAACACCCCGCGCCTCCCAAACCTTGGCATGGGAGTCGCGACAGTTTGCTTCTAGAGAGGAGTGGCAGCTGGACATGCTGGAGAGGATGTCAAGGGAGCTTGGTTCACTTGTGAGCCATATTTCGCATCATCCTGGTGCATTCTCAACCTATATCCGAGTCCAGCAGATGCCACTTCCCTACGCTGGTCTTCCAATCATCCCAGAATCCAACTCATCTCATTCCGCCACAGACAACATTCGACCAACGGAACACGAACACGCGTCATTCCCACAATTCAAACCAACAATTCAGACATCATCACAACCCATCAACATTCATGGCAGATCCGAACCATCGGCCGAAGCAACACAAACATCACGACAAGACACTCCTATGAGCAACACTTTCACTCAGGAGGAATGGGAGAAGGATCTTGATATGAAACTGGTGTTCAGATATCTACGTTCTCGTTTCATGCCACGGAGCAGCAACCCTCCTCCATCAACACCAGCTCATCTGGCAACGTCGAATAGTCAAGACACAGCCGCAAAGCTGGCGCGCGTCCGTCAACACCACCCGCTGGTTTCACGCATGCGACCTCCGGCCGAACGCCGAACGTTCAAAGCTACAACGCCCGGAAGTCCAGTGGCAATTCGGCATCCGAGTAGTTGCGCGAGTCAGAGCACCAGACGATCCGCCCGCCGTAGCAGTGTCTCATCTCGACATTACTGGGACATAGGTGGATCCCTGGGTACAGGCTCTGTAATCGCATCCAACGGCCCGATGGGTAGCTGGGGCGAAGTGTGATGATAATTATGATGTCTGTGACGATGAAGGTGTGACAGATGTTGACGCATGAGCTATGACGGGCGCATTATAACGGCAGCATTAGGAGTATTATGAGCATTTGCCCGGTTGCAGGTTAACTACTTGATGTAAGTTTTAAACGATGGAAATCACCACTATTCAAAACTATTCAAAGATGAGGGTTGGAGTTTTTCTGGGTCATGATAGAGTTTTATTTTATGATTTTACGGACTTGTCCTTGGGCAGGTCCCCCATACTCAATTGAAACAAAGAAACAATTCCTTTATTTTGCACACTCAAAATGATTTCGATCGTCCTAATGCTAATTCCCTGTGATTTTATTTCTCTCTGTCACTAAATGTTCTGGTGTCACACAGCCAGCCATTGTCCAAGGCGAAAGACCCGGTTATCGCCTCACTGAACGAGTCGGGATCAAACGCCATGGGAGATGACAATCACGACAATCTTGGAAAGAAAAGGTAACAGCAGGAGAGACTGAGAGCCAGTTGCATTTCCAGCCTTGTGTGACAATTGCCTCATTGAGGCATCTTTTTAATTCTTTTGCACGGTTTGTATTATTTTTAGTGAACGGAACCCCATCCTGTACCTCACTAGAGAGGTTATCTTGTAAGTGGTTTAAGTCCTGAACTGCGTATCATTCACACGTCGTAACGGGCATAGGATGGTTCTTCAATCAAAAGTTCTGACAATTATGACTCCTTCTCTTCAAAACACACTATATTTTTGATGCCTTACTGAATTGTTCCTTTCAAGAGAACATTGTCCAACCGTTCATTTGATTCAACTTAGACCAACGGGGAGAAGAGGGAGGCGCCGTTCCCTCCCGTAGCAAGGCGGGACTAATCAAGTGCGGAAGCACCCTATTGGTTAGAAAATCCTTATCTCGAAGCGCTTCCCTGTGTTTATGTAGCATTTAGTGAGCGTGCACTGGCGTGAGCACTTAATTTGGCGGGGTAGAATGAGAGGCAGCTCTGAAAGTGACTTGGTGAGGAGCGCGCTCTGAGACAAGTGGTGCCGCTTTAACAAGTTTCGTGTATTCCTTGCATTCAAAAGAACAAGACGTTAGAGGCAGACTTGATGCTTCGTTTTCTTCAACGGTTGACGTTATTGAAACCCTAAAGAGTGATCAAGTCGGAGAAGATGGATTCAGCCACTCACTATGAAACTAGAAATCATTATTGTGCTCATAATTTGCGTGATTGAATTGTCCTGGATCTCCTGTATTTCTGCTGTATTTTCCACTGTAAAGGCAGCTATGGTTACTTGCCATTTACGGCAATAGTGCATCAACAGGGTGCGCGTGTGTTCGAGGCGTGTCTTGCTGTGGGGGAATGAATTCCTATCCCCGTCCCCATTCTTGTCCTATCTCATCTCGTGAACCACTCGAAAAGCAGTCGCCTTGTTCGCCCTGTTCCCTCCTCCATAGGCAGGCAGACATTTCGAGTCCCCTCCATCTTGTGCCTCGTGCTCTTGCGACTTTCTTTCTCGCCCACTCTCTCCTGTTCGCCTGCGATTTCTCTTCGTCTCCTGAGCTTCCATCGTATAAATTGCGCTGTCCCCTCCATCAGCGCTCGTGTGCTTTCCCTTCTCTGTTCGCGCTTTGGTCAGTCTCCTCCATGTCTTGGAATTCTGTTCCATATTCTCGCCCAGTTTCTATGGATTGCGCCTGGATATTTTTCAACCTCGACGGCCAGGGCAGCTCTTCTAATTGATCTTATAGTGCGATGAACTGAAATTAGGCGGCCGTTCTGCCTGCGACCCTGTCCAGTTGGGCCTGGTTGAGGCCCTTGACACATCATCACGGCTGTCATCGACCAATTGCCATACCATATATATATCTTATATAGCTTTCCCTCCCAACTTGGACCTCAATCCTCGAAGGCGCCCGAGCCTATCTACCCATTCGCTTTCGATTCCGACCTCGCGACATGAGCGCGTGTAGCTCCCAATGGCAACGACCCCGTTCGACCCGTCTCACTTCACCCCAAATGCCTTCGATATATACACAGATGCTGTCGCGATCAGGGCGCCGACTCCCAGCTTGCCAGGAGGAGCTTGCGGTTTCGTGGACCTAAATCCTGGTGCCAATGGAGCCCGATGTGGATGCCGGAGGTTCTGGAGTCGTTGTCCAACTGGCAATCTCGTACCGGACCAATCCCAATGGTGCATGTGCAATCACCACGCCTGCTATCATGAGGAGGGATCTCGTGATGTCCAGCAGCCCGAGGTGGGTATATCAGGCCAAGAGAATGAAAGACCCAGGACCGGAAGAGAACCGTTAAGCCCCGTAGTGGACATTGCCATCAAGACGCCCCCTGTGATACCCGGAATGGATTTCTCGAGTTTTAATGCAGGAGCCTTATCTTTCATCCAAAGGACACCGGACCAAAGATTGTCGGACCAGAGAATACCCGTGGATACCGGCCCATTTCCAAGGATTCCTGCCAGCCAAAACCTCGGTGCCTCTGCCTCAATCCCGGATACCTTAAGCTGGGGTGGCCTTCTTCAGTCACAGTCTTGCCCTTCTGCTATCCCACCAATACCGGCCCAGTGTTTGATTACCTCTCAAACTGCATCAACAACCTCATCCGCCCAAGCCAAATACCTCCGGCCCTTTGCAGGAAAGGGACTTCACACTCTTAATGGGCTTTCAGCAGACAAACCTTCATCTCCAACCCAGGCCAATACCCAGGATGTTCCGCCAACTTCTGTGCCTCAGAACCAGGCGCCACCAGCTGACTCCTTTACGTGGACTTCCCAGGACTACAAACCACCTGACACTCCCCGCGCAAGCACGCCAACCCAGTCTGAACCCCGAGCTACAGCATTTAGTGCAGCTGTTTCGCGCCGCGCTTTCAAGAACCTATCTGATACTGTTAGCGGTCACGACCAGCGCTTAGATCGGCTGGAGACAGTCTCATTCACAGCAGCGGGACATGAGGAATGCCACGAAAAGCATGACCACGCCGATATTCGTATGACTGATCTAGAAAGTCGAGTTGAGGAGGTGGAAAAACTTGTCAGTGATAACAAGAGCGTCCTGAACGACAGCAATAGCGTTACATCTCGTCGTGGCGATGATGCCAGTGTGATATCCGTATCGACAAGCACTACGAGTCGGCCAACTCACTCACAGGAGCTCTGGAGTCAGGTCCAATCTCTACAAGCACAAGTGGTACAATTACAGTCGCTGATGCCATCCCCGAATCATCCATTCGAGATCGAGGTGGTCTTTCTGCCTTTCCCCCTTAAAAAGGTGTGGCAGGAGGCACAGCAGTTCAAGAATGAGCCACAAATCTCCAACGATGACTGGACGCAATTACCCATGACGCACAGCACTGCAACTCTACGGTCTGAGATGTCGCTTTACCCTGACTGGATGGTCTCGGATCAAGATACGAAATGGCTCCTGCCCAAAGCTTGCGCGGACAAGGGCGTTATTGATCGACGATTGCGCAGCCGTGGTCTAATCAAGACGATATCTGTCAAGGGCTCGGACGCTCGTAGCGTTACCATGGCTATGAACGCAGCTTTCGGCCACCTCTTTCGCGAGATGAACATTTTCTCTCGTCCCCAAACGACAGATCCTCGCTCATCATCTTTTTTGGGACTTCAATCCACTTGGGTTCCCCTTCGCAAAATCCATAAGGATTCACGATTACGTTTTCTCAGCCCTGCTGAGATGATGACTCCAGCAGTGTGGGATGTTCAATTCCTGAGCCAAGTCATGATGAGAGCTTCTGAGCCTAGACTGTTCGTAACTCATCCTGATGCCTACCTTCAGGACTTCCAGGCCTACGAAATGGGCTGGACGTGGCAGATGCTCAGGGAAATGAGTCCAGTCGCCCCTGATCCATCAGCCTCACTAGACGAAGGCAAACCCTTCGAAGAGTGTTGGTCCTGGGTTGAGCAGCTTGACGAGCCACCAAGTGCAAGCAGCTCTATGAGCGTGCGAAATGACAAGGCGCCAACCTCATCATCACCATCACAGACTTTTTATCCAGCTTTGCAGTCCATCAAATCTGCAAGTCCGTCAATGACACGTGCTCAGTCACCGTTGCTCAGCAGACGGGGCTCTCGTCCACCTCACATTAGAACTTCTTCAATGCCCATGTCTGCTCCAGTACAAGCCTCCCCTGCGCTCAGTAGACGCCGCGTTGCGTCATACGGACAGAGCCGTCGCTCATCTCCAGCTCTGCAGGCCAACTCCCAGTCGGCAATCATGAAGCGTCGCCGTACAAGATCACCTAGCCATCGTTTCACACCTAGATGGACTGCCTCACCGAGTCCAATGCCTCTTGGGATTCATGATCGTCAACCAGCGCGTGGCACTACACCCTTTGCCTATGCTACGCCGTACAGCAATGCTCCTCTCCAGGAACGACCTATTCGCGCAGGAAGTGCTGCTCTTGTTCCCGCCCAGGATGACTTCGACGATGACTCTGACTTCAACATCGAGATTTATGAGAGCGGATCCGAAGACATGGAAGACACTGAGAGTGTGAACGACATGGAGGTCATCACACATGACCAAGCTTTCGCAGAGCAAGGTTCGCAGGGTTGGCAGCTTCCAGAAGATGAGCCGTGGCCTGGGATCGAGGACCAGCGCGAAGCCTCAGATGGTGAAAACATTGATCCTCACCAGACTGATCCTGGCAGCAACGTCAGCAGTCAGCCATCTGAGTATCCCAGTACACAAAATGCATGGCCAGATAACAACACGGCCGAGTTTCACATTCACGAAGATGACGATAACAAATCATGAGGTTTTCGAAGTACGTTATATATGATCACTGCCTTACGAAAGGAAGGCAGCCCTATTTTCAACTCTCTGTACACCTGTCCATCTCCACCAATGGTTGGCAGTTTCATTACATTATGTGTTTAGAATTATATGCTTGGCGTTTTACGGGAAGGTTCTGGTTTACAAGGCGTTCCTGCAATCAAGGTTTGGGGTGAATGGAGCTAGGGGAGGAAACAAGGGCGTACGATATATGGGCTGGATGAGTCAATGCTATTCGGAGGAAGTTGGGTATCCTCTGATTCTGGATATCGGAAGATTGTGCCTTGATAGCGGGAAAAGTTTGTAAATCTAGGAAGGATCTTTTGTATCACGATATCAGCTCACATCCTCCTCTTTGTCTGAGCTTGTTGAAGGATATACCAAACAAGCGATCTGTATTATTCTATTTGAACCCGTGGTCCTTATGCTCTGGCTCATGGTGAGAGACGAGAAAGGGAACTGACTTCAACAGATAAACCCACTCAGTTATCAACTGCGCTCCGAGGTTTGTTTCAAGTGACCAGTGTGGATGCGTATCGTAGCTATGTATCCCCATTTGAACTGTCAATAAGCCATTTAGCTCAGAATTAAAATCTCCATGGCCCGCTTCCAATATGGAGCATGCTGGGGTGAAGATCAAGTTACCACAAGAGGAAATATATAGAGAGATAAGTTCAGCTTTGCCTTTGATATTCAACTCTCCAAAGCGAGGTTCCACCACCCCACGTTGTGCTATGCTTTGTTTGACCCTCTTGTCCTGTCCCACTGACGTGTTAGTGCGGTTAAGCCGAAAAAGGCAGCAATTGGGCAGAATAATGAGTTACAAGATTTAACGTTAGCTTTGACCAAGTACAAGACCAGTACAGCATGGTTTAAACGGCCGAGGCGTTATATCATGACTCTATTGTACTCTGTACAGTGAGACAAAGTTGTCTAGGGTACCCAGTAATGCCTCAGCAGCCTTGAAATCACCGCCTAATTATCGTCCGGGGCCCCAATCGATCGATGCCCAAAAAATGACGGTGCCATCACCAGTTTCTGTTTCTGTGTGGGCGGCGTCAAATTTTTTACCCGCTAAAGCCATGGCTGTGTCTCCACTAATCTTTACGACCGGGAGCTCTTGCATTCACGGGCGCGGACGCGGGTACCTGTACAACCGTGTACAGCAGCTGCTCCAGAAGCAACGGAAGCACCTTTTTAAAAAGTCAAGACTCCCGCCTTTTTCTTCACCTCCACGAAACATCACCACTTCAACCTTGGGCTCGTCGCTTGCTTTTACGCCACGTCGAACTTTCTCTTCTTTTTACTCATCAAACAACAAAATGTCTTCTGAGGAGATCACCCACCCTACCATCAAGGGTATGTTTTTCTTGCTGTTCATGTTTTTTTTTTCAACTGCCCCGCGTTATCCTGCCCCTCTCTCATGATGATCATCATGCACATGTCTGGTCACTCAATTCTCGACGGTTTTTGCGGGAAGATGAAGCCTATGACCTGATGATTGGTTCTCATAAGAGTTTGAGTTCAAAGTTTGAGCTTATCGTTACACAATGGCGATAGCCTCAGCTTGATGCTGGGCTCTCCCTCCATACAACAGGATCTTTACCTACACTCCAATTCCCTCAGAGTTTTCAATTCTTGTCGGCAAAAGCTAACAATCTATTCAGATGGCTGGTTCCGAGAGATTTCGGACATGTGGCCCGGTAGGCACATATAATCCATACAGATAACGGCTTCAAATTCTTACCCAACCAAATAGGCCATGCCATGACCCTCCGCGTCGAGAAGGTCCTCGTCCACGAGAAGAGCAAGTACCAGGATGTCCTCATCTTCAAGTCCACCGACTTCGGCAACGTTCTGGTCCTCGACAACGTTATCCAGTGCACCGAGCGTGATGAGTTCTCCTACCAGGAGATGATCGCCCACCTCGCCCTCAACTCCCACCCCAACCCCAAGAAGGTTCTTGTCATTGGCGGTGGTGACGGTGGTGTTCTCCGTGAGATCGTCAAGCATGACTGTGTTGAGGAGGCCACCCTCTGCGACATTGATGAGGCTGTTGTCCGTCTCTCCAAGGAGCACCTCCCCTCCATGGCCTGCGGTTTCGACCACCCCAAGTCCAAGACCCACATTGGCGATGGCTTCAAGTTCCTCAACGACTACAAGAACGAGTTCGACGTCATCATCACTGACTCCTCCGATCCCGATGGTCCCGCCGAGGCTCTCTTCCAGAAGAGCTACTTCCAGCTCCTCCACGACGCTCTCCGTGAGGGCGGTGTCATTACTACTCAAGGTTGTATGTTCCCTATTTTCTTGAGGAGAGTAACTGGCGTCCCTAGGAACGGCAGAATCGGGGAACCCTCCCGGATCAAAGTTGATCGCTGTGGCTGGGATCTCCCTCGATGGGTACATTTTGGTGCCGCTTCCCTCCTAGGGACTCCCAGAAGCTAGTGCTGCTTTCCCAGCTCTGCTTCCGGTAGTCCCGCGATAGCATGCATTTCGTTTTTTGTTTAACGTGTGCCGCGTTCCGTCCGTTCAGTTCTGCTGTTCCTGATCCGCCATGTTATTGTTGTATTGCGTAGCAGTTTCTTTTGGGACTACACTGACTCGTTGACTTGCTTATAGCCGAGAGCCCCTGGCTTCACCTCCCCCTCATCACCCGTCTCAAGAAGGATTGTCAGGCTATCTTCCCCGTCGCCGAGTACGCTTACACCACCATCCCTACCTACCCCTCCGGTCAGATTGGCTTCATGGTCTGCTCCAAGGACCCCAAGGCCGATGTCAAGACCCCTCTCCGATCCTGGACCAAGGAGGAGGAGGACGCCAAGTGCCGATACTACTCTGCTGAGATCCACAAGGCCAGCTTCGTCCTTCCCAAGTTCGCCCAGAAGGCTCTGGAGTAAGGCCGTTTGTTATGTCTGATGATCTTTGAGTGGGATGGGTGGCTACTTTTATGAGTTTACGCAGGAAAGGGATCAATGGGGATAAAAATGACCAAGGTGGTCACATAGATTAACACGGACGCAAAGGTATATGTGTTCCAAAAAGGAAAAGACTCTGGCGTTTTACTGCAAATTGAGTCATGAAATAAAGGATTTTGGTCCCTCACTTAAACCGTCATTGTCCGGTGATCACAGTTCGATCTTGACTTTTAGATGCCGCTCAAAGGGGTAGCCGGTCTCGACTCTCAGGGCTCCTCAAACTGGACCTTTCCCTCGCTTACATCAGGATATACATCAAACCTTCGCTGGGTGTTCAATGGGATGTTCTTTCTCGCTTCAGTAATCTTCTCAGGGTCGAGTTCCCAGTCGACAGTAGTCTCCTTCTCGTCTGCTTCAACCTGGACTTGCGCCATTGGATCGGCAACAAGACTGTGGCCATAAGCAGGATAGCCTGTTTCAGCGCGAGCGGGGCTGCAGAGAGCTACATAGAGCTGGTTGTCGGCAGCTCGAGCTCTACCGAGCAATTGCCAGTGAAGAGGGCCGGTTGTGGTGTTGAAAGCACCAGGGTAGATAAGGGCAAATGCACCCTTTCGAGCTGCAATGGTGGCTAGTTCAGGGAAGCGAACGTCGTAGCAGATAGCGACAGCAATCTTGCCGTATTCGGGAAGATCAACAAGTGTCACCTTGTTACCAGGGCTGAGAATATCTGACTCGCGGAATGTAATCTTGCCAGGGATGTCGATATCAAAAAGATGCACCTTGCGATGTGTGCCTAGCAAGGCACCGTCGGGTCCAAAGATGAGAGTTGTGTTATAGTACTTCTTCGTATCCGGGCTGTATTCTGGAATTGACCCACCAACGAGGTAGACTTTGTTATCAGCGGCCATTGCAGAGAGGGCGTGATAAGAGGGCGCAGCATCGCTAGATGGTGGACTAGGTAGTAGAGTCTCTGCGTATTGAGGGAAGTGATCTGTTCCATAAGGCGAGTTGAAGCATTCTGGCAGAACAACAATCTTTGCTCCCGAAGAAGCTGCACGGGCGACGTGTGAGGCTGCACTATCGAGGTTGGCCTTCTTGTCGGAGTCAGAGGCGAGTTGGATGAGAGAGAGCTTGACACGCTGCTTAAGAACTGGTTCAGTGATAGACGACATCTTGCGGATGGTGGAGGGGTTGCTTCGTTGGAATAGTGAGAAGGGTGATGCTGAGGTCGTTAAAGATCGAGATGTTAGTGCGAGTCGGCGGAGGACAGTTCGCATTGTTTATGAGTAGAATCAGCAAGTTATGAAGATGGCGAAAGATATAGTGATGAGGGTTGGTGGAGGCCGGCATCGGGATATGAGTGATGTGATCCAATGGAAGTGGGGGTGGGGTTCATTACAAATAGTAAAGAACTCTCAGTATGACGCGGGGCAAGAGGCGGAGATGTTATTCGTCAAATGTTGTATAAATGAGTTGACCAAGAGACAACCATTGAATAGCCTACAGTTACCACGATAATTTGAGAGGTTGCTTGGGGGAGCCGCAGTGTTATTAAGATAAGGAGATACGCATGAGTTACACAAGAACCTCATACGAATTACTCAACAGTCGGCGAGCATGGCAAATCAGCTAGCCGTAGGTCTCAGGTGCTCTCAGCTCGACGTCAATGATGCGAGTTAAAAAACAGGTCGGCACAGCTACAAATGTCTTGTTTCGAGAGAAGTCTGTTTCTTAAGGAGTGAGATTGCTGCCAATTGTTGCTCCTGTAGCAGCACGGCTTCATCCTTCCAACCAAAGTTCAGAGTAAATCAAGTCAAACCTCAAAACGAGTGGCACCAGACAAAAGACCACCATAATCAAAATTCCTCCATAGATATAATTCCATTTCAATAAAAGCAAACAACATGGTATCTCAAGCGATTGAGTGTGCACACTTGTATGTAGCCTGATCCGGCTGTCCTCTCTTATACATGTCCTGAAAGACATTTCTTAGCAAGACTGACCATAGTCTGCCATGAGGTAAAGTATTCAAGAACGGCAACCATAGACACTGAAGCCACTTGA